CAGATTGAAGATAGTTAACACATAAATATGCATAAGACAATTTATATAAAATATCCTTGGTTACCATGACATGCATCATATCAACAATTAACTGCTACTATGATCTTCACATATAAAACTTCGAACATTTTATTCCATTCATGTGATATAAAAGATGTAATATTAATATGTGCTTATGCAATACAGGTGTAGTACGAAGTTGTGTGCATATGAGATTTTAAAGGAATGACAAGTATAAGATAATCATACCTTCTTACATTTCATTACTTACCATATGTAGTTTCTCTTTACATTTAACCATGTGATGATATGTATAGCTTCTAATTGTAATTTTTCTGGATGTAGGAAAATTTTTGTAGATATATATATACAATTGGTTAGAGACTCGTGCTGATAACGTGTTATGAAATATAACTCAAAGTAGCAATATGGAACAAGGAAATAAAAGCAATTTAGTAAAACATGAACAAGAAATGGAGATAGAGAGAAGGAAGAGATTTTTTTCTTTAATTGTGTGTATTTTCCTATCTATTACAAGACCTTTATATAGACATGAAAATTGAAGAAAATATGTCATGGAATATGTCATTGAACATAGAAAATATGTCATTGAATATGTCATTAAGCATTTGACATGAAGATCATGGAGGAAGAGTAGACATCCACCATAATATGATATTTATCATAACAAAATTAACTTTTTTTTTCTTTATAGGAAATAAAATTTGTGACAATGGAGAAAGGAGAATATATCAAACAAACTAAACCAAATTGTTTTCTACTTTTTGACTAAATTTTCTTAGCTAAAGAATTTTAAAGGTTAATTCTGAAACCTGTAAATTAATTAAAGTGGATATATTATTGGATGGAAGCTTGACACCTTATTATTCACAAAAACAAAGACAAGTAGGAGTATATAATTTCATTTACATTTTGGCCAGGTTGGAAAGGGATTATCCAGAGATGGAAAAGCTCAGAAATTAGCTTTTCAGCACTGGATTAAGGCTGTGAGTCATTGCCCACTTTGGCTTTTGTTCGACTGTACCCAATTTGCATTATTGATATTTGTATTTTTCTGACCTTGGTTTTGTGGTAACTGGAGATTGACCCACGCCACCGATATGGACATAGCTTGCATATGTACTATGAGGAGTGGTGTAAAACTGATGCTGGTCAGCCCTTCTTCTATTNGGGGGTTGTGTGACAGCTCTATCCAATAAATTTCGGTTGAAAGAACAGTGTTGTGCTTATTTTTACTGCTTCTGGTTTTTGGTTGGGCTAAATTCTTTTTCTCGTTCTCTTTTTTGGCAATTGTTCCAAATTTTTGTTTTTGTGTTTTTTCTTAATTGTGGAATTCATGACCAGCCTTGCTCGTTACATAATGCGATGTGGTAGTTCTTCGACGAAAAGATCAATATATAGCTCATGTAACTTAGACTTTAGACCTTTTCGAAGAAGGTTTTGGGAAGAATTACAAAAGAGAATAAGAAGTAATTCCAGAAATAGATACTAGTCCTAATAAGCAACCAATATTAAAAAATTAGTGGAACTGTTTGTTTGATTTGCATTCGCGTCGATAAGACAAAAATCAACATAAGTGCAAATGTATTTGGACATTACTGATTTATTCCATGTAGTACAGTTATAATATATACAAGAAATTGAGGTGTTAATTTACTTTACAGCAGTTGACTAATCTTGTGCTACTTCAGTATGAAGTCTAAGAACATTGTGCGTTACTGAGTTCTGTTTTCATTTTACTATAGTCGCTTTACAAAATGGATAATGCAACATGATTTATGAAGTTACTTGTAAGACATAGTAAGGAGTGACTAAATTTTTTTGGAATATGCAGGTTGGATCTTGGAGATGGCAAAAAGGTTGATCTCAAAGAATGTCCAAGATCAAAGCTTCAGAAACAGTGTATTAAGTATCTTGGACCAGTATGTGCAAAATCTTTGTTGCTTATTGCAATGCAAATCACGATGTTTAGCATCAATATACAAATGGCTTCTCATATCAATGCACTGAGATTGGTTTCTCTTTATGCATATGATTTGCTCTATTATACACTGCTAATATCACTTACATTGCATGTTCTAGTATGTTCTTGTCCTTGATTAAGAAAAAGGACAGTGTGTACTTTTTGTCTACTAAGTGAAGGAGTAAATTCTGCATAATTTCCTTAGTTGCATTGTTTGATATTAGCATGCAGCTCTAATTATTTATCGTTTTCTTTCTGTTCTCAGCAAGAGAGAGAACATTATGAATATATAGTGGCTGAAGGGAAAATTGTGCATAAACAAACAGGAAATCATCTTGATACAACCAATGGGTTGCCGGAGGCAAAATGGATTTTTGTAATGAGCACCTCAAAAAAACTCTATGCTGGCGAGGTGAGTTGTAAAAGTTACTGCGAAAATGATTTTTTGATGATTATCCTGCAAAAAGAAGGTTTGTTTTTCTTTTGTTAATGCGAAAGGTTTGTTATTCTAATGCCTTTCAGAAGAAGAGAGGAATATTTCATCATTCCAGCTTTCTTGCTGGTGGGGCTACTTTAGCTGCTGGAAGACTAGGGGTAACGGATGGGATACTTAAGGTAAATATCTGTTATCATTGTATTGAACTGTTGCTTTAGACAGTTACACGATATATCTCAAAAACTAAAGCAATCAGGCCAAGGTTCTTTTCCCTTTACATTACATATGCCTGAGTCCTGACAAACAATGAAACTATGATGAGATCTAAATGGAGGGCTGCCAGAATGCACGAGTCATTTCTTCTCAAATTTATGAAACAATATTTATGTCTTTGAAATTCTAATTCTGCTCCAAATTAGTACACTTTAAAAGTTCAGCGACACCACCTTTGGCGAAATTTATTTAGATTGTGAAACCATAATTGCATATAGAATTAGAAGCTATATGAAGAGAAGATTGCCTTCCCTTTTGTATTCCATATTTGTTTTCAAAACCTTAGATGTATTATTTGCAAAGTAAAAGGTAAGAAAGAATATGGGTAGTGCCACCTGAATCATCTGCGTGTAGCTTGAAAGCTAAACTCCAGTTACTGTTCACAACATTTAGCTTGGCTCTATGCTGTGCTCTAATATTTTATTCTTTTCAGTCTATTTCAGCATATAGTGGGCATTATAGGCCAAATGATGATAGTCTTGACAGCCTTTTATCATTTCTCAAGGAAAATGGAGTTAACCTAGATGAGGTTAAGGTTAGTGATTTTCATGTCTTTCCTACTTTCAAATTACTTTTTAACTGTAATGTTTGCAGCACCAAAAAATCTGATCTTTTGATATCTCATCAATGAATGTATAAAACGGAAATGGCCATGCCAAAGAAATAGAAAGTACAATATTAGTGAGGTTTAGGTCCCCTGTCCCTTCAAGCCTAACACCACTAGACTGAGAGTGGGGAATACTCTACTTGGCACAAACAAGCTGATTTGGGAAAAGCAAAATTAAAAAAAAAAGGAACTCTTGATCTCATGTATAATATTCTCAACTCCCTCAAATGCCGCATGTAACTCTGCACATCCTAATAGTATATAATTTCTTTGGTTCCATTTCATCTTTGAGATGCTTAGTAATGATGGTTTCATTTTCTCTTTCCTTATCATATTGTAATGATTTAATGTAACATAATGGGTTTTCCTCTTTCCTGTCTACTGCATCTAATCTAATGGATGCTTTCCCTTTATGTGGGATAATGCTTAGTATGAGGGCTGCTTCTCCTTACCTTATAGTTATCTACTCTGCATATGATTTTACTTACGAATGGTTTTGATTAAGTATTTGGTTCTAACATCAGTTAATCCTTATCATTTTTCAATTAAATCAGATAAGAAAGGTAAAAGAAGACGATGAGAGCAATGTAGAGGGACAGTCATATGAGAGTCACTCTGTGTCTGAACTTTCAACTGTATCATATTCCCCTCTTCAAGTTGATGATCCGATGGAAGAGGAAAAGGACCTTTCCTCGGAATTAATGAGAAGTCCGCGAGCTCAAGAGACAAGTAGCTATAAGAGAACACTCTCGGGTGGTCTTGAGAGCCCAAGAGCAGAGGTGCCAACGACTGCAATACTGCAAAGGATCAACTCAAAGAAGTCTGCAAAGTCGTATCAACTGGGTCATCAACTCTCCCTGGCATGGTCAACGGGTGCTGGTCCAAGAATTGGCTGCATTGCTGACTACCCTGCTGAACTAAGGCAGCAGGCCTTGGAACTGACTAACCTCTCACCTAGACCTTGTTCTGCATCATCAACTCCAAGGCCGATTGATGATATTGTATCACCTACTTGTCCTTCACCAGTTCTTTGCAATGGTGATGTAACACGCACCTGAACCGAGGTTTCTTTAGAGCATAATTAGTCATTTTTCATCCTTTGTGCGAGCAAGCTGTAGTGAGCGGAAATGTATTCTTCTGCGTACTCTCTTGGCAGTTATCAGCAGTAGTTACTTCATTTCATCCTCCCACGCTCTTCCTGTTTATCAGTCTGCTGTTAGTTTACTTTGTGAGTTTGTGCTGTCCTCGGTAGTTCATTTAGTCCGAGGATAGAATCTGCAGAGGAACATTATTACAATAACCATAAAAAGGTTATATTAAGGGTGTGTTTGGTATAAAGGAAAATATTTTCTGGAAAGGCAACCCGGTGCACTAAGTTCTCGTTGTGCGCGGGGTTCGGGGAAGGGCCAGACCACAAGGGTCTATTGTACGTAACCTTACCCTGCATTTTTGCAAGAGGCTGTTTCCATGGCTCGAACCATGACCTTCGGGTCACATTGCAACAACTTTACCAGTAACGCCAAGGCTCCCCTTCGATAATATTTTCTGGAAGTGTTTTCAATTTTTTCACTTTTGGTTGGCAAAAATATTTTGAAAAATATTTTTCTCGTGAACTTATTTCATTTTCCTTGGAGGAAAATGACTTCCCTATCAAAAGGAGGNCCCACTCCTCCCTCCTCCCCCTAACATCGCCACTGCCATTTCGAACCATAGATCCCGACCTACCACCCCTCCTGCCCTTACCCATTTCGTCTCATATAGTGTTTGCTCATATATTTTTCAAAAATATTTTCAGTTGTCTAACCAAACACCGAAAAATAAGTAAGAAAATCACTTATTTTCTAAGAAACATTTTCCCAAACATCGGAAAATAAGTAAAAAAATCACTTTCTTTCATATCAAATAGACCCTATGTGCATATTACAGACTTTGCAAAACAAATTTACAGCTATAGCAAACAAGAGTTAGACAAGTTTCTAAAATATAAGCCTACCGTATGTCGTTCTTCCAAGTACTCACCAAGTAAAGGCAATTAATGTCACATATGTTGAGTTTTTACTGTGTTTGATTTAGCGAGCAGGACAGGAAAAGACATTGATTTGGCAAACATTAAAATTGGATTCCCTATCTTCTCATTACAGCTCCTGTATGAACAGCTATTTCATTTTCTCATGGAGATAAAAGGTGATAAGTCAAGTGTACAATATTATCCATATATCGGATGATGGCATTGAGATTATATTCACGCACTTTTTCAATATCTAAAATTATGAAATTTGAGGTGAATTATCAGTGTTTGTCAATGAGGGCTTTGTTCAATAGTTAAATTTTGGGTTTAAAACAAATAAATTTCAAAGTAGAATTTCGCCTCCTCGTGTAAGTGACTAATATTTCAACTGTAAGTTCTCATTCTGAGTCGAACTTTAAAATTCTCCAACTAGTATTATCTTTTTTCTAATGTACGTAAATAAAAAATCATGTCACTTATGGATTACTTATTTTGTTAGGTTCTAGATTCTAGATTCTCTATTAATTATTGTCGGAATATTGAAGGAGGGTTTTTCTTACTTTAACGGGAAGATGTGAATTGCGGTTTCATATATGCACCTCTTTAACTATTTTTCGCCTATTTTCAGTTTTCACTATTTCATGTTTCTATTCAAGAGGAGTTGCTCCGATGGTAAGTAACCTCCACTTTCAACCAATATGTTGTGAGTTCGAGTCACCCCAAGAGCAAGGTGGGGAGTTCTTGGAGGGAAGGATGCCGATGGTCTATTTGGAAACAACCTTTCTACCATACTACCCTCCCTAGACCCCACTAGTGGGATTATACTGGGTTGTTGTTGTTGTTGTATTAAGCGTAATAAGATTCTTAAGATTAAAATTTATGGCAAAGTCAATGGTATTCTCATTATGTTATACTCTTAAGCTTTTCATTTATGAAAAAGGAAAATGTTGGGATTTTTTAAGCATTAATGAGGCTTAAAAGAGGGTGAATGAGAAATGAAGGGAAATGAAAATTTTAAGTTTCCCCCCTTGGCAAAGGGACATTTTCCCATATTAGAAGAGGAAGAGGTTTTTTATGAGTATATAAGCAATTGCTCTTCTTCTAGCTCTTAAAGAGTTGAGAAGAAGGCAAGCCTCGCGCTATCGTCGTCGCTCGCTCGACTTCGGCTTTGGTCAAATGATCCTCTTCAATTTTCCCTCTTTATTATTGATTAAATAGCCATTTATGTTATGGTATTTATGCTGTGGCCGTTTTGCATAAACAACCCTCAGAATTTCCATACGAATTTTTTGAGTTCTTCTCCTTTCTTCTGCATATTGTAACTTCAAAGAAAGCAACAATAAATGTGATTTGCTACCGAACTTTGTGTTCACTGAAACACTGGGTTTGAAGTACCACTACACCAGTGTGTAATCCGTTCTATCTTGGGAGGAAATAATCCATAACCTTGGGTACTAGGATGGGATTAAATTCCTTAAGGAAACACTGTGAATTCAGTGGGCTCGAATTGATTTTTGTTATTTCGTTTACATTTCTGTTTATGTTATTTTATTTTCTCCAGAATTGTTTTACAAATACAGATTGCTAGCAAGCTTAAGGAATTTAATATATTTTTTGTATTTGTACTCACTGTTTCTGGAGAGTAAAACCTTTGTGGTTTTGTACTTTATTGGAGATTAAAATCTACGTGATTTTAACGTTTGTGTTTTTTTTTTTTACATAAAATGACTAAGATAATGTGAACCAAGTTGTTCCAATGGTGACTGCCAATGCTTCAATGAGCCGAACAACACCGACAGCATTGGCACCGGCGGAGAAACCCGAAAAATTTTTCGGGATTGATTTCAAGCGCTAACAGCAAAAGATGTTCTTCTATTTGACCATTCTAAGTCTCCAGAAGTTCATCAAGGAAGATGTTCCTGTGTTGTCCGATGAAACTCCAGAAACTGAACGCTTTCTCGTGATTGAGGCGTGGAAGCATTCAGATTTTTTGTGCAAGAATTATATTCTAAGCGGGTTGGAGGATACTTTGTATAACGTCTACAGTGGCGTGGAAACGTCAAAAGAATTGTGGATTGCGCTTGAAAAGAAATACAAAATCGAAGATGCCGGGTTGAAGAAGTTCGTTGCTGCAAAGTTTTTGGACTACAAAATGGTAGATAGCAAGTTTGTTATTATCCAAGTCCGGGAATTGCAAGTGATTATTCACGATCTCCTTGCTGAAGGTATAAATCAAATTAATACTGATGTTGAAAGTAGTAATCTTAGTATTTTTACTAACAGAAATTTCATTAAAGATCTTGTCATCAATGAAGCATTCCAAGTAGGAGCGATGATTGGGAAGTTGCCTCCTTTGTGGAAGGACTTCAAAAGCTACTTGAAAAATAAACGCAAGGAGATGTCCCTTGAAGATCTCATTGTTCGGTTGAGAATCGAAGAGGACAACAAACCTGCTGAAAAGAGAGGCCGTGGAAACTCAACAATAATGAGAGCAAATATTGTTGAAGAGAACAAAAAGAGGAATAAGGCTTGTGGACCGAAATACAACCCAAGCAAGAAGTGGTTCAGTGGAAATTGCTACAACTGTGGAAAAGCTGGACACAAATCTACGGAGTGTCGTGCTTCGAAGAAAGACAAGAAGAAGGGTCAAGCAAATATGGTTGAAAAACATGATGATGTTGATGACTTATGTGCCATGCTTTCCGAATGCAACTTGGTGGGCAATCCTAAAGAGTGGTGGATTGATTCTAGAGCCACTCGCCATGTTTGTGCTGTTAGAGAAGCTTTGGCTACTTATGCTCCTGTTGGACCCGATGAGATGCTTTCTATGAGAAATGGTGCAAAGGCCAAGATTGAAGGATGCGGGAAGATATTTCTCAAAATGACTTCCGGCAAAGTGGTGACTTTGAACAACGTCCTTCATGTTCCCGAGATTAGGAAGAATTTAGTCTCTGCTGGACTTCTTGTTAAGAATGGTTTTAAATGTGTTTTTATTTCCGATAAGGTTTTAATAAGTAAGAACAAAATGTTTGTAGGAAAATGTTACCTCACTGAGGGCCTTTTCAAGCTGAATGTAATGGTTGTTGAAAATAATAATAAAATTTCAGCTTCGTCTTACTTACTTGAGTCAAATGAATTATGACATATATGTTTCAGTCATGTTAATTATAAAACCTTACGAAAAATGATTAATTTTGAAGTATTGCCTAAATTTGAATGCAACAAATTAAAATGTCAAATATGTGTGGAATCTAAGTATGTTAAACATCCTTATAAGTCAGTTGAAAGGAATTCAGATCCTTTAGACTTAATTCACACAGATATTTGCGATATGAAGTCAATATCATCTCGTAGTGGAAAGAAGTATTTCATAACTTTTAATGACGATAGTACTCGATATTGCTATGTTTACTTACTTAATAGTAAATATGAAGCAATAGACGCATTCAAGCAATACAAAAATGAAGTTAAAATGCAACTTAACAAGAAAATCAAAATGATAAGAAGTGATAGGGGTGGTGAATATGAATCTCCTTTTGAACAAATATGTTTAGAATATGGAATTATTCATCAAATAACGGCCCCTTACACGCCCTAATCCAATGGGATTGCAGAAAGAAAGAATCGTTCATTAAAGGAGATGATGAACGTATTATTGATAAGTTCTGGTTTGCCACAGAATTTCTGGGGGGAAGCCGTTCTTACGGCTAGCCAAATACTAAATCGAGTACCCCATAGCAAAACACAATCCATTCCATATGAAAAATGGAAAGGAAGGAACTCCAACTTGAATTATTTTAAAGTGTAGGGGTGTTTGGCAAAAGTGCAAGTTTCTAAACCTAAAAGGGTAAAAATAGGACCGAAAGCCGTTGATTGTGTTTTCATAGGATATGCGACTAATAGTAAAGCATATCAATTTCTGGTTCATAAATCAGAAAATCCTGACATTCATAATAATATGGTTATAGAATCAGATAATGTTGAGTTCTTTGAAAATATATATCCGTATAAAAAGGAATGTGAGTTGATTGGTGAAGGATCTAAATGACCTCGGGAAGAAACAAAAGAAAATACACTTAACCAGGAGGATCCAAGACGTAGTAAACGTCAAAGGACGTCTACTTCATTTGGACCAGATTTTGTGACTTTCTTATTGGAAAATGCGCCTCAAACATTTAAAGAAGCTATGTCTTCTTCGGAATCATTGTTTTGGAAAGAGGCAGTTAATAGTGAAATAGAATCCATACTAAACAACCATACATGGGAATTTGTTGATCTCCCTCCTGGAAATAAACCGTTGGGTTCTAAATGGATCTTTAAGAGGAAAACGAAAGATGATGACACTATTGACAAATTTAAGGCAAGACTTGTGGTCAAAGGGTATGACAACGAGAAGGTCTTGACTATTTCGATACATACTCTTCAATTACAAGAATTACGTCCATACGAATATTAGTAGCGTTAGCTGTAGTTTATGGTCTTGAAATTCATCAAATGGATGTTAAGACAACCTTCTTACATGGAGAGTTGGAGGAAGAAATTTACATGGAACAATCTAAAGGGTTTGTAGTTCCCGGTAAAGAAAAGAAGGTATGTAGACTTGTTAAGTCCCTTTACGGACTAAAACAAGCACCCAAACAATGGCATGCGAAATTTGACCAAACAATGTTGTCAAATAGTTTTAAAATAAATGAATGTGATAAATGTATGTACATTAAAAACATTCCAAATCACATAGTCATTGTTTGCTTATATGTGGATGATATGCTGATAATGAGTAATGATATTGCTAACATAAATGCGACTAAGCACATGCTAACTGGCAAGTTTGATATGAAAGACTTGGGAGTTGCTGATTTAATTCTGGCAATTAAGATCCATAAGACTTCTCAAGGTCTGTCATTGTCATAATCTCATTATATTAAGACAGTACTTGAAAAATTCAAGCACTTGGGCTTTAAAGTTGCAATGACTCCAATTGACGTGAATCTTGCATTAGCAAAGAATAAAGGCCAAAGCATATCACAATTGGATTATGATCGTGTGTTGGGATGCTTAATGTACATCATGAATTGTACACGACCAGATATAGCTTGTGCTATAAGTAAATTGAGTTGATATACGAGCAATCCAGGTCAATTTTATTGGATGGTAATGAAACGAGTTTTGGGATATTTAAAACATACCCAGGATTTTGCTTTGCACTACAGTAAATATCCTACAGTCATTAAGGGATACTGTGATGCAAATTGGATCACCGGATCAACTGATTCCAAGTCCACAAGTGAATATGTATTCACTATTGATGGAGGAGCGTTATCTTAGAAGTCGTCCAAACAAACTTGTATTGCCCGCTCTACAATGGAGGCTAAATTCATAGCCTTAGATAAAGCCGATGAAGAAGCTGAATGGCTCTGGAATTTCTTGGAAGATATTCCATTTTGGCCCAAACCATTGGCACCAATATGCATACATTGCGATAGCAATTGGAAGGTCTGGGAGCGTTATGTATAACGGTAAATCTCGTCATATACGACGAAGACATAAAATCGTTAGGCAATTACTCTCTAGAGGAATTATCACGATTGATTATGTAAAGTCAAGTGATAATGTGTCGGATCCACTTATGAAAGGCCTAACTAGAGAGGTAGTTGAGAAATCATCAAGGGGAATGGGGCTATGGCCGAGAACAAGTCATTGTGGCGGTAACTCTACCTAGAAGACTGGAGATCCCAAGATCTAGGTTCAAGGAGATCAAACAAAGTCATTAATGACGGTTCAACATTGTCAAATAAAATTTTAGTCCATTCTCGTGATGAGACAATGTTCAGTACCAAGGATAAAACATTAAGGCTTTTTAATGATTTCTAAATTTGATACGGGGTATATCAAATAGTATATCTACTGGATGACACATTTAGGAATCACCTATGTAAGTGTGAAGTGTTAGCTGCTTCAAGGAGAACTTTGTAAGGCCAGTTCTCTATGCACTTATAAAACCAGGTGGTGTTCATGGCTGAAACGAACACAACAATGAGAACCAAAGACGGTTAAGGGTTGGTTGTGTGACTTTTGGTTGTCTAGGTATACACCAAAGTTCGACGGTTCAAAGATATCAAATCTACTGATTGACCGAGTATATCCGACATAAGTTCACTACGGAAAGTTCAAAGGGAAACCTACTTATCCAGATGCAATTAATCCTTGCTTGTGAATCACACAGTTTTTCCATGCATATTTCCATAATATAGCCATTCCCCATTCATGTGGGGGATTGTTGGGATTTTTTAAGCATTAATGAGGCTTAAAAGAGGGTGAATGAGAAATGGAGGGAAATAGAAGGAAATGAAAATTTTAAGTGAAATTTTAAGTTTCTCCCATTGGCAAAGGAACATTGTCCCATATTAGAAGAGGAAGAGTTTTTTTATGGGTATATAAGCAATTGCTCTTCTTCTAGCTCTTAAAGAGTTGAGAAGAAGGCAAGCCTCGCGCCGTCGTCGTCGTCGCTCACTCGGCTCGGCTTCGGCTTTGGATTCAGATTCAGATTCGGATTTGGTCAAATGATCGATTGATTGATTAATAAAATATTAACAGAAATGTTATTAAATATTTTTTTAATAACAGAATATTAATATTGAAATAAATATTAATATTAAATACAATCCGTTTTTTAGTTGTGTAACTGAAAATTAAATTACCCTCTTCAATTTTCCCTCTTTATTGTTGATTAAATAGCCATTTATGTTATGACATTTGTGGCCGTTTTGCATAAACAACCATTCTGAAGAGTTGCACCTCTTCAGATTTCAGCCAAACTTTGGCTATAAATACAAGACTATTCTGCTCAGAATTTCCATACGAATTTTCTGAGTTCTTCTCCTTTCTTCTGTATATTTTAACTTCAAAGAAAGCAACAGTAAGTGTGATTTGCTACCGAACTTTGTGTTCGTTGAAACACTAGGGTTTGAAGTACCACTACACCAGTGTGTAATTCATTCTATACTGGGAGGAAATAATCCATAACCTTGGGTACTAGGAGGGAATTAAATTCCTTAAGGAAATACTGTGAATTCAGTGGGCTCGAATTGGTTTTTGTTATTTCGTTTACATTTCTGTTTATGTTATTTTATTTTCTTCAGAATTATTTTACAAATACAGATTACTAACAAAAAATACTTTATTCACATTCGGTTTATACCAAGTCGTGTTAATTTTCTACAATTGTCTGATAAGAGAATAAGTGCATCAATTATAATTAAGTGATAAAATTAACATAAAAATAAATGCCGTGCATCGCTTTCAAATTCGGCTGAGTGGCCAATTATTATTTTGCCCAAATATTTTCAATGGAACCTACAATATCCTAGTAGAAGGAGAGCCTTGACGTAATTAGTAAAGTTGCTGCCATGTGATAATGAGGTTACTGATTCAAACAATGGAAAGAACATCTTGCAGACATGTATGGTAAGACTGCTTACAATTGACCTTTGTGGTCCGGTCCTTTTCTGGATCCCGCGCATAGCGGGAACTTAATGCACCGAAATGCTCTTTAGCTAGAAAATTTCACTTTTTAGCTAGAAAATATAATTAAATTCGGCTGGGCAGTCAATTAGTATTTTCCCAATTTTTTTCAAGGGAACAGATCATTTCTGAGTCCAGCAAAAGAAAAATTTTAGCGTAATTGATAAAATTGCCGCCAGGTGACCAACAGGTTAGCCCAAGCGGTATCACATAACACTATAGTTCAAATATACAAACACAACAATCAGATAAATAATAAAAGTGACACCACTTAGTATTCCGATCCGTGTAGCTCATGCAGTCTGAGACAACTATTTTGAGGGAGGTCGCGAACCTTCAGCTGCACTTTTTTTTGTAGAAATATTTTGTGCCCATCCACAAAATAGTTGTGCCTGGGTTTGAACCGCTGACCTCTTTGGCATTACGAAAACACTAAACTAGTGGATGATAAATCACAATTACATAGACTAGCGACAGTAAATTATTTTAAACGTTAAAGGATGCTGCTGCCTTTTGTTTTTTTTGGTTGTATTTTTGTATGTTGTACAAATTTACATCAATTTTTTATTTGTTTAAATGGTGACACCGCTTATGCAATATTCTGCGTACGCTACTGGTTACGGGTTCAAGCCGTAAAAATATCTTGCAGAGATGTAAAGTAAGGCTGCAATAGACCCTTGTGGTCCGCTCCTTCCCGAATCTAGCGCATAACGGGAGTTTAGTGTGGCTGCCCTTTATACCATGACCCAGCACAACAGACCAGCTTCAGGCACGTGCCAGCGTCCACTCACAAGTTTACGTGCGTATATTTTACAACACTTGGCATCTACAGGTACATGGCTTCCAATCTTGGAAGTTGTGTCGCGGTTATCTGGCAGGACACGTGTCGTTTCCGCACCCCTCCTCCTCCTCTGTTTCCTTTTTGCTGCCTCCTCAATACTCACCAAGTACTCTCACTCGTTACCTTACTAGTTACCACCTGATATGTTAGTTTGTATGCATGAACTACGAAGAGATACACAAATCGGCGCCGTGCACGGCGGACGGTAGGTTTTCCGATGATAAACTGGTGGAATTTGAGTGGGAAGCGGCGGAGGCGTTAGCTCGTTTGTCGCATCCGGTGACTGGCGATGTTCAACTCTGCATGGACGCCCGGGATGCAGCTGGCTTATATTCGACAGTATGTGTATTATGAATGTATTCAATTTTTTATAGACTAACAATATGATAAATCCTTTTTATTGATAACTGTAATGTACAATTTAAATGCATTACTATAACTTAGGGGAAAAAAGGTTAAATTTACACCAATATTATTTGAAATTGAACAACTTTACCCTCAGGTAAAACGCTTATCCGCCTTTAGGAAAAAGTTTCATTTTTGTCCTTAACCCATAAGGGATGTCCAACTGTGGGTAATCTAAATCATATTCATATTCAAAAGTTGAGGGGTAAATATAGATATTTCTTTCGAATAAATTTAGACATATTATGGCTGCTATACTTCTCTTTAGTGTGATTCCCCCTTCTGAAATAACATTGTGTATTAAATAAGGAAATCATATATCTGCTCCGGTGAACTATTTGATTTTGAGTAAAGAGTTTAAATTGAGCTTTATTGGCTTCAAAAACCAAATAAAGTACTACTAATTATTATAGACTAGTTGAGTTAATTGAGTAAGGATTATCAAGAGAGGGGGCAAAAGGGAAAAAAAGGAACCGGGAACTACTCTCTGATGCAACGCAGATGCAATATATTTATGTATGTCTAGATCAAAGTTGCTACTAATGATTAGTTTCCTTGTCATGTCAGCTTTTTTAGAACGTACAATGTGAGTTGTTTCCTATGTTAGATTAAGATATGACACATCCAAGTTGAATTAATTGAGTTGGAATTGCGGATTTTCTTCCTTTATTGTCTAGGATGTTAGAAATTACAGTCTCTTCTACAGACTTCTAGTGTGACCCACATATAAAGTAATAAATTATTTACCTTGTCTCCCAAAGGAAATAATATATCAGATAATATTCTGTAGTTATGCATATATTGGTAGTTTCTTTGATGGAAAGAAATTACCATATATTAGGAGTCCCTAGGGTAATTATAATTTATGGAAAAGTCTTTAGGGTTAAAGTATTTGCCTAAGAGTCCCTAGCCTACCTATAAATACGCTTGTGACTCCATCAGTTTGGCATCCTACGATAGGCATAGGCTAGAAGACTCCTTAGATTTTCTCTCAAGATTCTCTAAAGGAATTCCCCACATCACTTGAACAACCATGGCTGAAGGTACGTTCCTATTAATATTCCGCTGTGTTGGCTCTGTGTTTGTATTCGAATTTTCAACATGTGGTATCAAAGCCGTCCTTTAGCTATGTTGTTCAGTTTTGGATTTGCTCGTTATGAGTAATTTGACAACTTTGTTATGATCTTTGCAAAAGGATGTGAATCGATGTTGATTATCAGTATATACGTGTTCTATGTATAAGTTATTTTTCTATTTTTTAGAGTCTAAGTATGTTACATAGATCACAGTAGTTTAAGAGATCACAAACACGACAGATTCGTGATGTTTGCATACACGGTTAAAGAACAACGAACAAGAAGAATCCGTTTAATCACTTGACCCATATAATTTTGTTGTTTCTGATCAATTGCACTTCTTCCTTGCATAAAGAAACTGGCTGTTTGGATAATTGATCATTAGACTGTCTTTCTTTGTTTGGAATTGTTTTCTTAATAATACCACTCAAAAGGAGATATATTTATTTGCTTATTATAAAATAATCTCTTTACTTGTTTTGAAACTTGTGCCTTTCGTTTCCTCCGTATGGATCTTGGCGAGGTCAATTACCAAATTTGTTAACCTCATTCCTTGGAACGTGAATTTAGTTGCTGCTTTTAAACAATGAGTTTTTGGAAGGTCTTTGTTTCAATTTTGATCAAGATTGTAGTTGAATTCTGTAATTAGATTGTTCAATTTAAAAGAATCGAGACGGCCTATTACTTAATTGTTTTAGTTGTCCTTATATATTGATTGATTTTGTGGTTCTCACTGTAATTATCTAAAAAAAAAGATTCTTGTTTCTTGGGGCATGAATCAACTTACTGTCCTAGTAAAACTTTAGAGCCTTTTAAACATTTTGTAAAGCCACTTAGCAATTAAGGCTTTATTCCCGACGCACTCACTGTCTAACCAATTTGCATAAGATTGCAAATTATGTTTTCATAAATTAACTATTTTGAGATGTCATATGAGTTTTCTTTTATGTGATGTACTTAGGAGTAGCCACGACATCTTGAGTACTTGATATAGAAGGAATTTAGTTGTTTAATCACATAAAGTTTAGTGATTAAGATTATAATGGCATCCACTTAGTCCAGTTGTCTTAATAAAATGGTAACTCGGCCGTACAGGGAGGTAACCATTTTAGTGAGATTAATTGAAATGAGATAGTAAACCTTTAAGTTGAAAATTATCTTATGCCCACAGGTACGGATTATTTTTTATGCATTTCAGTTTACTAGTCTAATAAAGTTAGTAAATTCTATGCATGAGTTGCAACCTCTGCCCACAGGAAGGTCTAGAATTTATTATGAATAGGTATTTTACACGATTCACCTTTGATGGATTGTACTTCATAGCTTATGTATGTTTATCCTTGTTTTGCAGTCTTTACCGCTTTTCCTACTGCTATTTTTAATGAGAATGCTCGAATCCCAATGCTTTCTGGTGACAATTATGCTGAATGGAAGGAGAAAATCCTTCTCACTTTAGGGTGCTCGGACCTAGACCTGGCACTCCGTGTGGATGAACCACCTATTCCCATGGAATCAAGTATGCCAGCTGCTAAGGCTAATTATGAGCGGTGGGAGCGATCTAATCGCTTAAGTTTAATGCTCATAAAAACTCACATAAGTCAAAGCATTGGGGGTTCTATCCCTGATAGCGATAAGGTCAAAGCTTACATGAAGGCAATTGATGAACAATTCGTAAGCTCTAACAAGGCATTGGCCAGCACCCTTATGAAGAGGCTCTCAAGTATGACTTTCGACAGAAGTCGTACCGTGCGTGAGCACATTATGGAGACGAGAGACATTGCTGCTAAACTCAAGTCCCTTGATGTGGATATGTCTGAACCATTTCTTGTGCATTTCATTCTCAACTCCCTTCCTGCGGAATATGGTTCGATCAAGATTTCTTACAACACACATAAGGATAAATGGTCAATCAATGAACTTTTGACCATGTGTGTTCAAGAAGAAGAGAGGTTGACGCATGAGATACCTGAAAGTGTTAATATGGTGACTCATGGTAAGAGAAATGCAAAGAAGGGCAAAAGTGTTCCCATGAAGAAGATAAGCACCTTTGACAAAGATACTTGTCGTTTCTGTAAGAAGAAGGGACGCTGGAAGAAGGATTGCTTGAAATACAAGAAATGACTTGAGAAGAAAGGTAATTTTACCTTTGTATGTTATGAATCTAATTTTACTGAAGTTTTTGATAATACATGGTGGATTAATTCTGGTGCTACAATTCACATTGCCAAAATCATGCAGGGCTTTCTAACTCAGAGGAAGCCGATAGGAAGTGAACAATACGTCTATTCTGGCAATATGACACGTTCACGTGTGAAAAGCGTGGGGACTTATAGGCTCATTTTGAAGGATGGTTTTCACTTAGATTTAGAAAATACTTTTTATGTTCCAAAATATTCTAGAAATTTAATTTCTCTTTCAAGACTATCGATTAGTGGATATGATTTGAATTTTCATTATCCTTCTGTGAAACTTTTGAAATATAATAAAGTTATTGGTTTTGAAAATTTGAATGGAAATTTATATAAACTTGAGCTAGACCCCACATTTGAATGCAATGTTTTAACTTTGCATGATAAAGAAATTGACACTAAGCGATGTATTATCAATGAGAACTCATCTAGTCTTTGGCACAAGATATTGAGACACATCTCTATTGATAGAGTCAAAAGGTTGGTTAATGATGGAGTTCTAAAAACTCTTGATTTTTCTGACTTTGGGACTTGTGTGGACCGCATAAAGGGTAAGCAGACCGACAAATCAACTAAAGGTGCCAAAAGGAGTTCTCAATTACTTGAGATCATACATATAGACATATGTGGACCTTTTCCTACCCCTTGCTTGAATGGTGAGAGATATTTTATCTCGTTTATTGATGACTATTCAAGATATATGTATCTTTATTTTCTGTTTAACAAATTAGAATCACTTGATGCTTTTAAAGTTTACCGAACAGAAGTAGAGAAACAAACTGGTACTCAGATTAAAATTGTAAGATCTGATAGGGGTGGAGAATATTATGGTAGGTACACAGATAAGGGACAAGTTAAGGATCCATTTGCTGAGTTCCTTGAAAGTGAAGGTATAATTGCTCAATATACCATGCTAAGAACACCACAACAAAATGGTGTGGCAGAAAGAAGGAACCAGACATTAATGGACATAGTAAGAAACATGATTAGCAGATCAAGTTTACCTTTATCCTTATGGAGTGAAGCCTTAAAAACCGTTGTGTATATTTTAAATAAAGTTCCATCCAAGGTTGTCCCCAAGACACCTTTTGAGTTATGGAAAGGATGGAAACCTAGTTTAAATCATTTACACGTTTGGAGATGTGCAATTGAAGTAAGTGTTTATAACCCATAACTAAAAAAGAAGTTGGATGAAAGAACAATAAGCGGTTATTTTATAGGCTATGCGGTTAACTCTAACGGATTTAGGTTTTATTGTCCTTCTCATTCTCCTAAAATTGTTGAAGCTAGAAACGCTAAATTTCTTGAGGAGCATGAAGAGAGTGGGAGTGGTTTGACTCAAAGGGTGGAATTGGAAGAAATAAGGGAACCACCTATGATACCTTTATATATTGGGAACTCTAATGTTGCTCAGAAAAATTCTCATGAATTATTTGAACAACAACAAATTTAAGAGCCACCACTACTTGAGGAGCCACATGAAGATCAACCCGCTTTACCTGAACCCACTGAAGAAGTGTCTGAATCAGTGGGAGTGAGAAAATCCTCAAGAATTCGAAAATCAGCAATTTCTAACGACTATGTTGTATATCTCCAAGAATCTAATTATGATATTGGACTAAAAGATGATCCATGCTCGTTTTCACAAGCCATGAGTGGAGAAAACTCCACACTTTGGTATGATGCCATAAAAGAAGAGTTAGAATCTATGGCTAAAAACAAAGTCTGGGATCTCATTGAATTACCAAAGGGATCCTCTACCAAAGGTTCCAAGTGGGTATTTAAAACTAAAAGAGACTCATTGGGTAATATCGAACGATATAAAGCCAGACTTGTAGCCAAGGGTTTTACTCCAAGGGAAAACATTGATTACCATGAAACCTTTTCTCCAGTATCAAAGAAGGATTCATTGAGAATAATCATGGCATTAGTAGCTCATTTTAATTTAGAGTTACATCAAATGGATGTGAAAACAACTTTCCTGAATGGAGATCTTGAAGAGTAGGTATACATGAGTCAGCCTGAAGGATTTTGTGATAAGGACAAAAGTCGCCTTGTTTGCAAGTTGAATAAATCCATTTATGGGCAAAAACAGGCTTCCCCTCAATGGTTTATTAAATTTCATAATGTTATTTCTTCATTTGGATTTACGGAGAACATCATTGATCAGTGTATATACCTTAAGATAAGTGGGAGCAAATATATATTTTTCTAGTCCTATATGTGGATCATATTTTGCTTGCAAGTAGTGATTTGGGATTGTTGCACGAAACTAAACAGTTCCTTATTCAGAATTTTGAGAGGAAGGATATGGGTGAAGCCTCTTATGTCATTGGCATAGAGATTCACAGAGATAAATCTCAAAGATTACTTGGACTGTCTCAAAAGGCCTACATTGAAAGAATTCTGGAAAGATTCGGGATGAAAAACTGTTTACCTATAGCAGCACCCATAATTAAATGTGACAAATTCTCATTGAATCAATGTCCACAAAATGCATTGGAAAATGAGCAAATGAAAGACATTCCCTATGCTTCCCTTATTGGGAGTCTTATGTATGCACACGTTTGTACTAGACCTGATATTGTTTTTGCGGTAAGAATGCTTGGCAGATATCAAAGTAACCATGGTCTTGACTATTGGAAAGCTGGTAAAAGGGTCTTGAGATATTTGCAAGGAACCAAGGATTTTAAGCTCACATACAAATGCTCTGACTCATTGGAGGTGATTGTATATTCAGACTCTGATTTGGGTGGATGCAAAGACACTGGTAAATCTACTTCAGGATACATTTTCCTTCTTGCTGGAGGTGCTGTGTCTTGGAGAAGTGTCAAGCAGACCATTGTTGCAATATCCACAATGGAAGATGAATTTATAGCATGCTATGAATCTACATCACAGGCGTTATGGTTGAAAAACTTTATTTTCGGCCTTAGGATTATCGATTCCATTTCAAGGCCATTGAGAATTTTTTGTGAAAATTCAGCTGCAGTTTTCTTTTCTAAGAATAATAAAAGTGGCAGCCGAAGCAAGCACATCGACATAAAGTACTTGATGGTTAGAGACTATGTGAAGAAGCAAGATGTGAATTTTGAGCATGTTAGTACTACTTTGATGATTGCAGATCCTATGACTAAAGGTCTGCCGGCTAATATTTTCACGGATCATGTAACCCATATGGGGCTTAGTAGCTCAATTTAGTCTTGCTTTGCTCTCTAACAGTTTGTCTAGATATTATGTTTATTTTGATATACATGACAGTGCACACTTTTGGTGTTTCATGTATTATTTGTGATCATTGGATCAATAAAGTTGAACTATGAATGACTTATATTAAGTTCATTCATAAAGTTGTTAGACATTTTATTAGAATATATTGTGCATTGTAATACATGGAAGGAAATGTTTGTTTAAAAGCATGACCGCCATGATTCGTGTTATAATATATTCTAGTTAAAATGATTGTCGCATAACTTTTAGTCGAGTGATAAAGTTTATGGCCATATTATATGTTTATCTCTCATAAAGGATTATCTGGTTTTAATATGTGGGCCAAGTGGGAGAATGTTAGAAATTACCGTCTCTTCTAGAGACTTCTAGTGTGGCCCACATATAAGGTAATGAATTATTTACCTTGTCTCCCAAAGAAAATAATATATCAGATAATATGCGGTAGTTATGCATATATGGTAGTTTCTTTGATGGAAAGAAATTACCATATATTAGGAGTCCTTCGGGTAATTATAATTTATGGAGAAGTCCCTAGGGCTAATGTATTTGCCTAAGAGTCCCTAGCCTACCTATAAATACGCCTGTGACTCCATCATTCTGGCATCCTACGATAGGCACAGGCTAGAAGACTCCTTAGATTTTCTCAAGGTTCTTTAAAGGAATTCCCACATCACTTGAAGCTGAAGGTGCGTTCCTATTAATATTCTGCTGTGTTGGCTCTGTGTTTGTATTTGAATTTTCAACATAGGAGACAAAGGCTAATATGCTTTCTGTTTTTTGATATGGGTTTATTTAGCTGTTGACGAGATAATCTTCTAATGAAAGTAAACTTTCATTAGAAAAAATGGATTCCAAATAGCATTATGGGCATTGTGGACTAGTACATAGCTATTGCAATTCTGTCACCCAGCCTTTTGACTGACATCAGCGATGCTCTTGTTTGTCCAGGAGCAAGAAATAGCCATTCAGTCTGAGGATGAATCTGAACTCGATACAAGTCTTCTATGTGCTTCAAATAATCCACCAGTTACCAGCGGCAAATTGAGGCAGGATTTGACTGAGGTGCTGTTAAAATTACAATCTCTTATCCTTATTCCTTAGATGTTCCTACTTTCTTATCGTAGCAACTGTTTTCTCAGGCGGAGAAGGAAGGAAGGAGGCTGCGCCGTGTATTTGCAAATAGAGAATCTGCGAGGCAGACAATTCGCCGAAGACAGGTATGTTCATCTGAGCTATTTTCGTCAGGAACACCAGTATAACTCGCAGCTGTTCTGGACCAGTTATATCTCAATATAATGTGCTTTTCCTCCGAGGAATTGCCTCTCTAGCATAACCTGTGTGGTCGAACGCTACATATTTGGTGTCTTCTTTTATAAGTTGACTTTTGACCTGCTTGTATTCATTATTTTTGGTTGGACCAGTACTTTGTTTATATCTCTGTCGCATGCACTGGTTTATGTTCATCATGAATGCTTTGGGAAGTAAAGTCTCCTGGAGAGTGTCGAAAGGATTTCTCCTTAATAAGGTTTAGGCCTTGTTGTCCATGGTGCTTTCTTTGTGTTTAGGCCATTTCACTAGTTTTAGATTAACACATGCCATTCTCTGCTAAGTAGGAATGGCTATTCTCTTTTTCCAAAGATGTCTTTGTTTTCTCAAGTGGAAGCAGCTACTTCGGTTTCATTAAAATAATAAGCGTTTCAATTAACAAGGAATTCTCTCTTTTCTTTTCTTGGTGTCAACCTAAAAGTTTAGCATAATTGTCATCATATTCGTCTTGTAGCTAATATCAACTGACTAGATTATTGTGTCTCCTGTTTTCAATTTAGCCGCATTTTCCCTAAGGTAGTCCACAAGATAACATTTTCCTACTCTGCGATATCCTTTCTTCACAACATATCAAATGGAAAGAGAAGTGGGGCACCTCCTTCTAAGGAATAGAATACATCTCAATACTTTTTCCTCTTCGGATCCCAGCTCCCAAACTCTCTTTAGCTTGTAAGCTTAGGTCTCTAGCTAAGTGGGATTAGGCGAAGGTATCAAGGTTATGCTTGTTGATATTCTAATGAGTGCAGAATTTTTCACCTTAAATTTTATGAAGTTTTTTGGTCCTGCTGTGTTGTCTTGCTTTGATGCTCCGAATTTGTTAGGGGAATATTCGAAAACTTTTGTCTTCTCCTTCTTTGAAGAATTATTCTTAAACAATGATTAAGGTAGCTTCCCTCCCTTTTTGAAGGACTCACTTTGTTTTTATCCGTCTCAATATGATATCCATTTTCTTGAACAGTTAAGTTTTACCATGTAATCTAAGAATCCACATCTACTCCACTCTTGCCAATACAGTACTTTTCCTCTATTGTTCTAAATAAAATGTTAATATATGGTCCTGATGTCTCCACTTAATATTACTCAGTGATGATTATGCCAAGTGAAAGTAAGAATATGCATTTTGCGGAAGTAGTACCAAAATGCTGGACCAGAACAGTGCTTCCGTCTTGTTTTCTCACTGCTGTAGTAAGGTGGAACTTCTTAGAAAAAAAATATAAGGTCCCAAGTTGTCTTTCAGAAACAACCTCTACCTTCACAAGGTAGGGGTAAGGTATGCGTACACACTACCCTTCCCAGACCCCACTTGTGGGATTACACTGAGTTGTTGTTGTTGTTGTAAGTTGTGAGAAGGAGAACAGCAAAATTTTATAGGGATGTCTCTTCTTAAGTTTTTTCTTAAGCAAGAGTTGACCAAATCTTGTTATTTGGAAAACCGCATGAAGGTTGGTCTGGATTTGACAATTGATGCTAAAAGGAAACTGGATCAGATTCTAAAGTATCCTTGGTATAAAGATTTGATTTTGCTTTCTTGGATACTAGTAGTTAAATGCAAACTGAGGTTCTCATCGGGTGCAAACCAGTATTCTACTAGCACGAAGAAAGTTTATGCATTTACTGATCAACTACAACTTTAGAGTTGATCCTTTTCCAGTAACACGTTTATGCCTGCAGTCGCGGAACAATTTCCTGAAAAACTAATTGAGGCTATGGGTGAACTACTGGAGTTGGTTCTCTGGTTGAGTTGAGAAGTCAGAACTCAACTTACACAACAGAACATCACATGTTTTTTTTTTCTGTAATTGTTTGGAATCGGGGTAATTTATTTGGCAACTGTTGCAACCGGGCAACCTATAGGGGCATCCCAATAATATATATGCGTCTACGCGGTCAATGTGTATTGTGGTTATGCGGTAATTATGACTTGTAAATATAACTTGCATTTGTACCCTAACCACTTGTCTTCCAACAAAGTTATCAGATTAAAAGGAATGACAAGTACGAGTTCAGTAGATCATCATTGAATTTTCCTATTCCAATGACTTCTACATTTTTTTCTGTTCCTCGGACAACTAACCAAATCGTGTCTAACAGAGCATAGCATGTCAAAGTCTAATTGTTTTTCCTAGGCCATGCAAGAGGAATTGACAAGAAAAGCAGCAGATCTTGCATTGGAGAACGAAAATTTGAAGAAGGTATGTGGAATATCTTTGCTCGTATGTTTCTCTTCCATTTGGAATCAGTTCCCTAACCTTGAGAGTAACTTAGTCCAATGCACAAAGTTACTTTAGGATCATTATCTCTGCAATAGTCATTTCCTGCTTGGTGACATTTTTGATGAAATAGAATAAGGAGCTTGCTGCTGCGGAGTATAGTTCTTTGAGGAACAAAAATAATAGCTTAAAAACGCAGGTAATATAGTTCAATATTGAGATTGACTTTGAATTACATATTTACATGAACACATTATTTGACTGATTAATTCACAGATGGCTAAAATAGTTAAGGCGGAAGTTCAAGAAACAGACGATGAGTCTAAGTTGATCACATCTGTGGAAACTCCTAGTACTTCGACTACATTCCCAACTTTCCTCCATAACCAAACTCAGGCAACGCCGTTCTTCTGGTCCTTTCAACCTTTAGATGGTCTACCATTACAAAGTGGTTCGCAAAGTATTTCTGGTATTACACGACAGCTGCCTATACCTCTTGGAGAATTTAAACCGTCTGACCAATTAACTAGAAAGTCACGTGATGATGAACAAGCCAGAGACTCCTTTATATATACTTCCGTTCCCTTGGCCGATGCCATTCCATGCGCAAAGTAATCCATTTTATCCACCGTCCTCAAATCATAATGACCAACACGGGACTTCTGTTGTTCATTTATGTAGTACTTCAACTCCAAGAACCACGGTCAACATGGAGAACCACCTAACAACTCCTCTGAAAGTTGAAACAGAAACTACTGACTCAATGGATACTATATATTCATAGAGACATCCTTCACGAAGCTGACAGTGCTTATCTACGAAATGAAGGTGCATCTGAAGGAAGAGAGCAGATATTAGGGGTTCGGTCTAAAGGGATGTTCCAGATGACTGCTACTTCAAGTCCTTCCATACAACCAGTTATTGCTAGACAAAGTGACGACCCTCAACAAGACAAAGTTACTTCTTCTGCTCGTGGACACGTAGCCGGTGCCTTCCCTAAAATGTATCAAGAACGTCTTTCATGCTCTAGCAACGCTTCTGCAGATGCCATTATAGCAGCAAAGGCCCGTAGGAAGAGGAAGGAGCTTATGAAATTAAAAAGCCAGTGTTATTATCAGTTCCATTAAACCGGTAAGGTTCTAAGGCATGAGATTAGCAGAAAAGAGAAAGAATAAATTACTAGAGATCAAATTACTATGTTTTTTTACCATTGGAGATTTACTTCTGTATGAGGTGGTGATGGTAATGAATAATTGCTGAGCCACAGAGAGGACCAAGCTCAAGTACTTTTCTCCACTGGATTTTGGTTTGAGTTGTTTCTCTTTTTCCCCATATTCTCTTCAGTATCTGTTTGCTGTATGTCTTTTGGTGCTAAACCATTGAAACTGTCGAGGCTATACTTTTGTAGAACCAGTATGTTATAACTTTGTAACGTGATTCATGCATTAATTATCTACGTGAAAATGATAATCTAAACCGGAATATATTCTATCCGGTAAATAGGCCTATGCAGCAAATATTTTAATTAGTGTCGTTATTGTTGAAAAAAGAAATATTCAGCATATTCTAACTATTTTTCAATTTTAGCCCGCGCCAGAAACTATTTACATTTGGTAGCTGAAAAAGTGTATAAATTTTGTATAATTTTTCTATATAACATACATAATGTATATATATATATTTTCCGGTTATTATTTTGAGAGCGACTATACAATATCGTTTTCCCAAGTTATAGTCAGGTCATGTGAAAAAGACTGTTAAAAAGGAAGATTGTACCAAAATTATACAGTCAATAGTATATAATATATAATCCTTATAAATTAATTCCATGACCATATAACTATATATACTATTAATACACGATGAGCAATCTTTATTGACTGGCCTTTCGCCTTAATTAAGGACGATTGATCAGCAAATTAATTAAATAATTCTGTATCCGTACCTGATGCAAGTTGGAAGTTCATTAAATTTGTACTGGATTATGACTTTTTAAATATTATTGAGAAATATTACTGCATACTCTAGTGTTTTTGCATATTTTTGCTTTATCAACATTCAACACGATGCACCTCTTGGAACAAAAACAAAATTTTCAGTGCGTTCCCACGAGTGTTTCTGAATGCTTCTTAGGATTCTTGAAAGAAAGAAAAACAGTGGGAAGCTCTGATTGCTTACAGACAACTTCTACAAAGTAAAAAGAAAACAAATATATTCATATTCCAAAAGGTCTTGAAAATTCCATATATGACCTCTATTGTGGTTAGCTTAAATTAACTCTCTTGAATTTTTAGCATGTACCATCTCTTTGTTCCTATAAACAAAAAATAGTATATATTAAGATAAAAGAAGCTCCCTTTTGGATATAAATCTTTTTACTTCTTTTTCAAAATAAATAAATAAATTATTTCTTCAAGAAATTTGATCAGTTTTTGAAATTTTTCTGAAGAAATACTTTCAAGTTCCGAACCAGTTTTTGAGTGAAATTTTTTCTTCTATTCATAACACTTCAATTCTTTTTTTTTTCAAGTAAAATGCGTGTTCAAACATAATATTAACTTTCAAAACTTATTTCTTAACATAATTTTAATTTTTTATTTAAATTTTAATCAAATCTATGTCCAAACGCCTATTTATATGTCATATATGTTCCTTATTCTAATGCTGGTGTACTTATCAAATCCTATTCCTTCTTTAATTTGTTAAGCCCTTATTAGCTGCTATGATGATGATGCATGTTATGACTCCTGTCTAATTGAAAATTATTGTCAGCCTTTCAGTCTTATTTTGTTGGTTTATTCAAGTTTTACTTTTAAATGAAACTTTTTATTAACATTTTTACTACCTTTGCTTTTCCCTTTGACTCGAAGGAAAGGTTTCTGGCAAAAAATATATATATTTTTTAAAAATGATTTCCGCTAAATAAATGCGTACTTGTACCTAAATATACTTATCTTAGGGTACGTGCGATACGCGTGAATACTGTTTCAATGAGTATAAATTTATTTAAACATAGTATTGAGTTATATAATAAAGTGTAAGTTTCTAAAGATAGTTATGAATATTGGTTGTGTATAACTAACTTAATAATTGAAGAAATTATCTCAGAATTCCTCAATCATTAATAACTCAACCTAACATTTGTTCCAGGTTTGTAATTTCATAATTTTAGTTTCACGGCAAACCTTAAAAGTATGAATAATCTTGAAGGATACAACTTACAACATATAAGCACGCACTAATAATTTATGAACTTTAAATAAATACTAAATAAAAGTACAATAATAAAGACATTAAAAAAATTAAAATAAGTATAACGACCCGATTGTTTTGAGTATTTGCACTTCGCTCGGTAGTTTACGGGCATGAGTAGCTCTGTATGATGTATTATGACTTATGTGAATCGTCGGTTTTGGTTTTCAGGTTACTCGAAATCGATTTGGAAGAATAAATTTCATGGTTTAAGCATTAAGTTGGAAGAATTGACCAAGTTGGACTTTTTAGCATTTGACCTCGGATTGGAGTTTTGATAGTTCCGTTAGGTCCGGATGGTGATTTCGGACTCGGGTGTATGCCCGGATGTGCGATTGGATATTTTTAGAAGGATTCAACACTAATTGGCGAAAGTTGGAAATTTGAAGGTGTGGAAAGTTCACAAGTTTGACCGAAAGTTGACTATGATGATATCAGATTCGGATTGTGGTTCCGGGAATTGGAATAGCTTCGCTATGTCATTTGAGACTTGTGTGCAAAATTGGATTTTATTCCGAGCTGATTTAATATGCTTCGGCGCGGGTTTTGGAAGTTAAAAGTTCAAGGTTCATTAAGTTTGATTTGAGATGCGATTCATTGTTTCGATGTTGTTTGAGGCCTCGAGTAGGTCCGTGTTATGTTATTGGACTAGTTGGTATATGCGTACGGGGTTCTGAGTGGCTCGGGGGAGTTTCAGACGAGGTTCAGACCATTTCTCATTCTTATTTGGTTGCTAGTAGCTGCTGGTACTGGTGTTGCGCACCTGCGGTTGAATTTGCGCAGGTGCGATGGTCGCAAAAGCGACAAAGCAGTCGTAGAAGCGGAAGTGGAACTAGGAGCTGGGCTCTACAAATGCGAGAAATGGGCCACACCTGCAGAAGCGGTGCCTTGGGTCGCAGGGGCGAGGTATGGCACAGGTGCGATGGCAGAGCCGCACCTGCGGGCGCGCAAGTGCGAAATGGTGTTCCATAGAAGTGATGGATGTTGAGTTAGGTTTGTTCGCAGGAGCGAAGTTTGGGCCACATGTACGGGTCAGCAGAAGCAGAAAATTGGTTCGCAAAAGCAAAAATGGCTGGGCAGAAGTTTTAAATCGAGGGTTTGGTCATTTTATTCATATTTGGAGCTATAGACTTCGGAATGGAGTGATCTGGAGGCAAATTTCATCAGAAGGATTGGGTTTTGAGCCGTTCGAAGGTCGGTGCACGCGAGATGGCATTTTTGGAGCATCGCTGGGCTTGCTCGATATTGGATTTGGCTTGTTCGAGATAAGTAGCACTTCTAAACTTGGTGCTGAGGGTATGAAACCTCGAATTACATATTATTTGATTGATGTTGAGGTGACACGCATGATAGGTGACGGGCGTGTGGGCGTGCACCATAGTAACTGTGATTTAGTCGATTCCATGGAACTGTGTAGCTATCTTATCTGAACATGTTATTGTACTCTATGTGTTAGAGCACTTGAGTTGTGATCCATGTTAGAAACCATGTTTATGCTACTGTGATGACCCGACCGGTCATTTTAAGAATTTACGTCCCGATCCCCTATTAACTGCTTTCTCCAAGTTTATTTCTACTATTTTGATTTGCCGGGATATTCAGTTTTGAGTTTAGGAGAGTTTTGGGACACTTAGTCCCTAAATGAGAGCTTAAGTGTTGGAAAGTTGGCCGTAGTCGGAACAATATGAAGATGGCCTCGGAATGAAAATTCGATGGTTCTGTTAGCTCCATTGGGTAATTTTGGGCTTAGGGGCGTGTTCGGATTATGTTTTGGAGGTCCGTAGCTAATTTAGGCTTGAAATGCCGAAGGTTGAATTTTTGAAGTTTCCTGTTCGATAGTGAGATTTTGATCTGAGGAACGGAATGGAATTCCGGAAGTCGGAGTAGCTCTGTAGTGTTTAATGTGACGTGTGTGCAAAATTTTAGGTCATTCGAACGAGGTTTGATAGACTTTTTGATTGAAAGCGTATTTTTAGAGTTTTTGAAATTTTTAGGCTTGAATTCGATGAAAAAAGGGGGTTTGATGTTGTTTTGACCGTTCCGAAGGTTGGAACAAGTTTGAACGATGTTTTAGGATTGGTTGACATGTTTGGTTGAGGTCCCAGGTGTCGCACCTCCTTTTTACCGCGCGGGCGNGTTAGGCATTTCCGAATTCCGTGGTTCTAGCACGGTCGCTTAACTGTTTTTATTATTGGCTTAATTATCTTGATTTTTATTAAATATACTTTTATTACGTAATTTTACTACCGCTTATACTTATTGTGATTAAGGACCCTTCTTTGAATCGAATTGCGCGTACGTATATTCGTGTTATAAATTTAAAAATGCGGAATTGTGTCACGCGTACGTGTACACGATAACTTTTGATAATATATTTATTAAACAATCATTTTTTCGAAATTGTGTCGAATCAAGAAAATTTGTTTTTTTTTTTAATAGTGAACCGCACATCTCGGTTTTTTTTTATGAAATTGATTTAACGCCTTTGGAAAAATCCTTTTCTTAAATATTCGCTCGAAA